ACATATTAACCATTTAAGTAGAATCAAATGGGAGGGTGTACCAAGATGGAAGCAACTATAGTGAACTTTTGTTAGCATCAGAGTATAAAACCCATCTGCCCACTTGTCCATGTGACAGTTTTGACACTAAGGCTTTGTGGTCATGTACAGGTTAGAAAATACATTCAGTCAACTGGAGACAAACTCTCAAAAAATTTCACAATGAAGCTAAGTAATTGTCTAAATTGTGGGATCTGAAAATTTAATTTTAATTTAAACTTTGTCAGTGATTTGATTATAAAACCTGAATAGATAGCAAAATATCAAAGAGTAGATTTAAAAAGAAACAAAACTGAAATACTTATAAAAAAAAAAAAAAAAAAAAAAAAAAAATTCACTCAATTCTCCAGGTTATAGTATATTTTAAATACTAGTATGCCTAGAATTGCACAAATTTCTTTGTGTTGACTAATACCAATTTCTGAACACACACCTCTCCCTCTCTCTCTCTCTATATATATATATATATATATATATATATATATATATATATATATATATATATATATATATATATAAATATACCACCACTAATTTGCTGAAAAAAAGGGCATATCATGATAAAAAAAAAAAAATGCCCCAAACTTGATAAAAGTTTTAACTACAAATTTTCATATTATTAAGAGGAAAGACCAAAGTACTTTTTGATTATTTATTACATTTTTAACACATTCGAAGTTTGGTTAAAAATATTGTTTTTCTGATGTCACCAAAAGATTAGTATAGGAGATTTTAGCATCTTTTTTTGCAGTAAATTTTTGGAAATTCTTGCAAAAACCAAATAATTGTCAGTTTCTAATGAAACTTTCAGAACTTATTCACAAATGAAATTATTTTAGAAATTTTTTTTAAAGAAAGTCTTGGTAAATATATAAATTTTTAACATGTTAACCCCACTTAATTTTGTCAAATTTGAAGAAATTATATTTTCACCCTCTTAATATTTATACTCTTAAGAGAATTTAAATCATTTTTTTTATTTTTTGGTAAAACAGAAACAACATTTACCAAAAATCTGCTCTGAATTGTAAAATAAAAAATGCAATAAAACTAATACATTATTTAATTAGAAAAGCTATTAAATAAGATATATTGAGAACACTATTGTCCTAAGAAAAATTTTTTTTGATGAATAATGAATTTTTACAAGAATTGTTTTCATTTTTAAAAATTTTAATTAGAATAATTTATTAAGTTTTAAATCTTTTAAAATTCATGTATTAATTTTACCCTTTTAAATGATATTATTAGGTATAAATTAAATTTACTAATCATAAATTGAAATATTTTACAACTCATCAAACACCAATATTTTTAAAAGAATTTTGTTTGTATGTGTATAAACGCAACAATTTGCATAGATATGGATGTTCATATATGACATTATCAGAAAATAAGAGATAACTTTAGTAAATTTAAAGGCAAGATATGTAAAATTCAATAAAACATTAAAGAGAATATTTTCCTAAATTTGCAAGATTATTCAGTACTTAAAAATTATATAAAAAAGGTATTCATATTATATTTTTCAATTATTTTTTTAGAGATCAAGTTCCCTCCACAGAAAAACATTAAACATCCATCTGTCATCAAGCTGTCAACATTTTAAATAAACAGCTATTAGGCATGTTAAAAAATGTATTTCTCTGATATTTTAACTTAAAGTAATATTGGTTTCAAATCAGATTAATTATACTTTAACTCTACTAATATTCCTCAAAGTTTCAGAAAAGTATCTTATTTTTTAATAAACAGAATTGTGACAAACGTGGGATTAAAATTGCACTGAAAAAAAAAAACAACAAAAAAAAACCTCCTTCCAGTTAATTTAAATTAGATTTGAAATATAGTTAAGTATTTTGCTTATTGAAAATATTTTTTCTCGTATTAACTTGAAATTAAAACTAAAATAAAAGCTTCAAGAAAGATATTCAATTTTAAAAAGTTCATTTTAAACTATGGGTATCGTGAATATACATATACACAAATATATATATATATATATATATATATATATATATGGTGTATTTAGGCAGCAACTTTTCATTTATGCATGTTAAAACAATGAAAGCTCATTGTTGATTTTTCTTTTTCTTAAATTTACTTTTCAATGTTTCTAATTATTTTTGATTTCCAGTTTGTATTTGTAAATATATTTTCTCACACACAAGTGCCATCGGTGTTTAGCATTTGAGCATAGGTAAAGGCCAGGATTTTGAATAATGATTTCCCAGACAGGCAAAATTCTCTCCCCTTTGAAAATGGGTACAACACAATCTTGCCAATCCCTATTTTCCTTCCAGTTGGATGGGGAACCAAGCTTCCAAATATCTATATAAGTCCATGTAATTAAATAATTTTGTTGCTGGAATGAAAAAAAAAAAAGAAAAAAAAAAGTCTATATGTGAGTGCACACATATCCAGGAATCGGGCCATACAGATATATGTAGTAATGTAGGTATAGCATATAGCGGAAAGATCCATCTTTAAAAAGAGTGGGCTAGTTTCTGCTTTTTCTTCTTCTTCCCATCTTGTGTTGTCTGCCTAACTTCAATACAAGCTAGTCAAGCATAGAAAGAACTGCCATATGCTGACTGTAGACTAACTGACTGGCTTCCTTGGAATCTCTTTAGGCTTACATTACATTTTGGAACACTGTGGCTGTCACTTATGACTTTTCACTCCACAGCTTCCACTTACTCTGAGGAGGTTGAACTAATCCAGCTACATTTGAAACTCAAACTTATTCATTCACATAATCCATAACCTCCAATTTTTTTTTTTTTTTTTTTTTAAGAGTTGGGCAATCAAGGGACAGAACCCGTGTAAGCCCATTTTTTTTTTCTTAATGATTCTATTAACTTATTACTGCTCCTTCATCATGGTATCTATTTTCTTACCTAGACTGAAAAAATAAATATTCAGAAAAATCTTATTTTAGTTAACTTATATGAGAATGATATAAATTTTTATATATCAAGAACAATTTTTTGGAAAAAACTATGACAAAGAGGGAAAAGTTTTCGTGTGATGCATTTCATCCATTACCACTTCATTGCATTCAATTTATATTTACATTTATGTGACTACACATATGCACAAAGGAAAGCGGGGGGATCACTAAGAATATATTTAATAAAAAATATTTAAAATTTTCTCCCCTGCTTTTACTTGTGTGCATGTGAAGTCGTATAAATGTAAACATCACTTTAGTCCAATGAAGTCCTAAAGGATGAAATGAGTTCCATGTAAACTTTTTCTATTTTGTCAAAATGTTTTCCCCCACTAATATATATATATATATATATATATATATATATATATATATATATATATATATTTCTTATTACTATGAAGATTATTTTTAGTGTGTACACATGTTTCAGTTGCTATTCCTGTATTTTATTAAATATTAATATTACCCTAAATTGTAAAGTCCTTCAAGAAAAATTGAGTCTGACAGGAATTGAACTTGCATCTCTTTTTTCTATAAGGGAAGCCACTGTTTGAGCCAAAGTGAGCCTTTACCAGTTTAAATATGAAGCCAGCCTGACAGAGCAATGTTTGAATAAACCTATTAATAAAGGCATGTTTCTCATTGGGACCTGTGTATCTATATCTACTAGCTTCAGTTTCATACCCGAAATGTACAGGGAAAACAACTCAAACATGTGTACCCACTAAAAATAACATCTATAGAATAGCTGAATGAGGAAGTGTGCATTTCTTAAAAGGAGTAAACCTTGTTAGTTTGTGATACTCTCTATGGCTGTGCAGCATAAAGCATGTTGAATCAAAAAGTGTTTTCTCCTATAAAGAGGGTCAGAGTTGAACCCTGCTGGGAACACATTTTCTTTATTAAATTTTCTTGAGAGTGTAGGTTGATAAATGTAAGATGCACTGTTTAAAATAAAAAAACAAACAAACAGGGTGTGTTGATCTAATACTTAATGACAATTTTTGCTTGAATTTCCGAATCCAAGTACACATTGCATAAAATGTCCCTAGACATGTGGGCAGTGGAATGAAAACAGTCTACCAAAGATGAGGACAATAGTATGAATGTAAATAGTGTAAATAACTTAAAAGTAATTTTATAAAAATAAGAAAAACAAATATTTTTTTTTTACTAAGAATAAAAAGATACCTAAAGACATATTTAAATATTTACATCTTTATACATAGCAAATCAACAGCTTAGTCTTATATAACCTCCAAAATGTCTAAGCAAGATCAAACTGTTCAATTACACTTCTATGGTGACATTATAAAAGAGAATGTATGGATAAAAATAAAGAGCCAATATCAGCATCATTTATATATATAAATATATATATCTGTGTGTGTGTGTGTGTGTGAGAGAGTGAGTGAGAACACACACACACACACACATATACATACACAAAGAAAGAGATAGTGAATAGATATATGAAAATATTCTATAACTTATCTTCTGACTCAGAGATTCATAAACATATAATTGAACAATTTCAGATTAGATGATGTCATGTTATAATGTCTATAAGATAGAACCTATTAAAAAAAAAAAAAAAAAAAATATCGTTATTTTTTTATTTAATATATTTTAAAATATATATATTTGTTAATAAATTCAATATATTTATCTTATCCCAAACATGTAAATCTGTCTCCAAACTCATATCTATTCTCTATTAAGGCTGATTTTAATTTTTTTTATTTTTATTGAGCACTTCATTTACAAAATCTGCTCACTTCAAACATTATTCCCCAGTAATTTACTGGATGATGGATTTTGCTTGGCATAAACAATCACTACTATTATTACTTAAAATACACCGACACTCTCACTCACTCACGAAAATCTGGAAAACTATTTTGATATGTTGCACTGATGAACCAGTGTCATTTGAAGAAAAGAATTATTTATATATCCATTTATTTTAAGGTTTATATTTACCCTATTCTTTCATTACTTCGGCTTACGGCCATATAGCATTAAAACACCGGTTCCTGTATGATCACCGAAGTTAAGCAATATTGAGCCTGGTCTGTACCTAGATAGGTGACTGCTTGGGAATGCCAGCTGCTGTAGAGTGCAAGTGGTGTAAAGGATAATTGCTCAGAATTGTTAATCAGAGAGCCGAGTTTCAATTTCATTTGGGTTTGTTATGTTAACTTATGCTCAAATACCGTTGGAAAAGGTATGAAACCATCTCTTCTCTTAGATATGGGTTATTTAGTATCACTAGATCATTATTATCTCCCCACAAAATTCTTACAATCTAAAAATATTTTCTAGCTTTAAATAACCTGCAAAGGATTGATAAGCTGTAAAAAATGAATCGATCAATTTCAGTTCTTATTTTGTAAGAACGGTTAATAAACTGAAGTAACCAGATAATATATTTATCATATAGTATATGATAATGTGATATATAGTATATTTCTTTTTACATATATAATGATATATAGGATCAGATAGTATATTTATCATATGGCATTTAAAAGGTCATGTCACTTCTGATGCATCTTTGAGTAAATTAAAAAAAAAGCAAAGAAAAAAAAAAGAAAAAAAGAAAAGGCATTTTCCAGGCCAAATTTCCATTTAATATTACTATTAATATCAAATGGCCATTTTCCAGGTAAAAATTGTGACCATGAATGTTCCAAAATTATATTTTAGTACACCTTTTTTTTTTTTTTTTTTTTAAAATAATCAGTATCACTAAGTAATTCTACTAAGACACAAGGAGTTACAGAACGTGGAAGAATTAAGAACAGAAATGTTTATAATGAGTGGGAAGAAAAAAAAAGAGTAATCAGACGGACAGTAGATAGTGATTGACATTGCATTTAAATTTTTTCAGATTAAAGTTTGCTGGAAAGCATCAAGGTAGGAGGGAGTTCCACAAGCAAGAAGTGCAAGAAAAGAAACTGTTAGCATAGAATTTATGGTTACATCTAGCCAACTCAATTGTAAATTGATGAGATCTCGATGTCAGTCTAGAACTGCACTTAAATTCAACTTACTCTCTCCATTTCATGTCAGGTGAATATGAGTTCAAATCAAATATTCTTGCTCACATTTAGTCAGTTTTGATAACTGTTAGAATAACAAAATTGATTTTGAATTCAAATTTTATAGAAATGGCAACTGAAATATCGAAATGCCAGTGTAATACATTCACAGCAATTTTCATAATACACCTTAGAAAATGCTAACAAATTTCTTAGAAAATTAAAGACAGTTTCCATAGCAAAATGAAGTAATATTAAATATCACATAATAAAAAAAAGGTGCCAAATAGAAACCCAAAAGGAAATATAGGAGAGAAGTTGAATGATCTTAGAATAAAATAAAGGAATATTAAATATGATTTGAAAAGGTGAGAAGTTGGCATTGAAATCAATACCAGCTTGCAGGGAAATTTCTACATATTAAATTTGAAATGAAAAGCTGTTACTGAATATTGACTGTTCAGATGTTCAGTCAACTAATATTGTTTGCAAATAATTTAAAGAAAAGGTTCTGTTTTTGCAATCAAAATGTTTGAACTCCAAAGCAAGGGGAGGGGATGTTTCAATCAGCAACATGAACAAAATAGGCATTCTATATAAAAAAGTTATTTACTTATTTTGTTATTTCTCATCATGGGATTATATATTTCTTTTAACTTAATGAAGTTTGTGTTTATTTTAAACTTTCCTGTTGTTTATTAATAAAAATGGTGTATAACCAGCAAATAGCAAGTGACACAAAAATGAATACATTTCATTTTAGTTGTTAGACAAAAGAAATTTGGTTTCTAACATAAAATTTCATTAACTTTGATAATTGAATGAAACTTAAGTTTCTTTCTTTCAGTTTTTTTTTTGTTTTTTCATTTTAAAATGTTCAGGTTTGATATTTTTTTTTTTTTTTTTAAATCATTCTGAATTAATATTTTATATTTTTCCATGGACTATATTTAACTGACTGAAGCCTACCCAATTTTGGGTTCAACTTTTGTAATGGCCTTAATGTATTAAAAATATCTTTGAATATTATAACTTCAAGCAGAAAAACCCAAGTAAATGATTATTAAACTAGAACATAAAATAAATCTTTGATTCAAATCAGATTCAGATTACAATAAATAAATGATTATATATTAATGTCCAAAGTGTGTAGAATTGAAAGAAGGTAGTTAAAAATAATGAATTGATGCTTGTAAGATTCTTATGACACAATCTTCCTGATAATCATAAATAACTGAAGTTAGAGAGAAAAAAATATTGGAAGATGTTGAATAATTTGAAAATTATGTAAATTGCAAAATTAATTAATACAGCCATAAAATGTTTGACAATTTTTTCATATATGAAAATTAGCAAAGAATGTTCCCCCACCACAAGCCCCAAAGAAACTGGTAATAAGTGTCACTAAGGGGATAAAAAAAAAAAAAAAAAAAAAAAAACTGGTAATGAATGTCGCTAGAAAAAAAAAACTTAATGCATGTCAATGGAAAAAAAAAAAAAGAAAACTGATAATGAAAATCCCTAGAACTAATATAACAGATCTCTATAAAAACTGTTAAAGGATGCCCTTAAAAAATGTCTTGAAAAAGAAATTTAAAAAATTATTCCCTTTACATGTTAGAAAATTTGATTGATAGTTCCTAAATTCTGAACATTTTCCTCTTTTAATGTTGTTATTTCATTAAAAATTTCTTATTTTAAGAAACTTTAGAAAAAAAGTGTTTCTATTGTGATGTCTTCAAACAACACCTTTTGAATTGTCACTTAGTTATGTAAACACAAAATCAAATTAGCTTTTACATTCATAGATGTTTGTTACTTTACCCCTTTTACTAAGTTTCCTTATTGCATCTTTCCTCTTCCTGCTCTATTAATCCAACAATGTTTTTATATCTAAGTAGGTCAGCTGGACAAGTGCGCACCTTCTGATAAGAAAACCTCTTCTCTCAACCGTTTGTTTGATTTATAAAGTCCATTTAGGATAAAAAAAAAACAAAAAACAAACAAAAAAAAAAACAAAAAAACAACTTTTTGGGAAAAATAAAAAGTGCACCTAAAAGTGTAAGGGATTGAGTAAGTAAATACTAGTACAGTTTAATGGGCCCAGATGCCATGAGATTTAAAAATGCTAGTGTTTTGTAATCAGTTTCATACATAGAAAGTCAACCACTTACAAAATGTATTTAAGAGTTGATGATAGTGGGTGTAGTACTTCTTTTGAAATAATCTTTATAATTAATGTGCTATAACTTGACTTAAAGAAGCAAGATATTTGGGTTTTTAAATTAAATATCTTTGTATCCATAGTAACTACTTTCACACAAATTACCAAAACAAACTGACAAAATTTGTGTCTGAATCAATCAGTCTAGCTATTTTGCTTAAAGTTCTTGGAAGGTTACTGAATATTAAAGACATTCAATCAATTCTAGAAGGTGTAGTGGTTGATATATTATGAAGCCAACAACAAAGAAATTATTTAAAAAGAATTGTTGCCTCTTGGTGTGTGTGTGTGTGTGTGTGTGCGCATGTGTGTGAAAGATGAGGAATTATATATATATATATATATATATTTTGATTCCTTAAAACTATTGTTCTTATCTTTGTATTATGTGTTTTTTTTTATCATAGATATGACGTTTTGGCCAAGTACCATATTCAGGTGTCTGTTATTTTGGATATATGGGATATGTTGTGTTATTGATGTATTTACGAATGGTGACATAGTATTTATAACCATTGTTTAGTGAAGTGGTACTATTATCTACTGGTCAGTTAAATCCAAAAAATAACACAATAATTAATATATGTAGCCAAAATAATGGTTACCTGAAGATGGTCAGAGGGCAATTGGCTGAAATGTGTATTATTATAATAATTGTGCCTATAATAATAATCTGTTAAATAAGCTAATAAAGATATATACTATGTCTAAAATAATAATAATAATATCTATTAGGTTGTCTATAATAACTTACATAGTCTATAGTAATATCTTTATTAAGTTGTGCTTATAATAACATTTACTAATCAAAGATAAGAACAATAGTACAAATAAGTCAAAGTACGTTATTCAATTTGATCATATGAGGATTGTACTGATTAATTAAATGGTTATATCAGCATTTGGCGATTAATCAAACAGCATCAGTTTTATTTTTTCCTCTGATTAATTGGTTTTCATGTTCAGCCATCCTTGTTTATTACTTCCCTGGTTAAAGAATCCTCTCAGCCTGGGTATGACGATAAACTACATCCAGAAGCAAGGCCTCTGATAGGGAGGTTCTGAGGAGCCTGGAACCACCTCTTAACTGCTGCTGTTCCCAGGTCCATCCTAACCTGGGGTTGTAGCACCTGTTAGGGTCCCACCTATGGGCAAATAGTGAACCCCCAAACTGGGGTCAAAACACTATGAAAGTGTAGAAATACATTTTTATAGTGAAGATGCCAGCAATATATGTTCATAGTAAAAAAAATTACCAGCAATACATGTTCATAGTAAAAAGATTACCAGCAATACATTTTTATAGTGAAGATGCCAGCAATACATGTTCATAGTAAAAAAATTACCAGCAATACATTTTTATAGTGAAGATGCCAGCAATACATGTTCATAGTAAATAAATTACCAGCAATACATTTGCATAAGGAAAAAATAAATACTACCAGCAACTATTAGAAATTACTAATGCTCCCAAGAAAATTAAATTTTGACATTGAATGACCCATGCTGTTAAATAAAACAAAAAAGAATCATCACTTATCTTCAATGTAGAATGAATTTTAATATTCTGATAGTTTTCATTGAGGTTTTTTTTGTCAATCTTTATTTAGAGCAATTAAACTGATTAATAAGTGCAGTTCTATATGGTACAAGTTATGTAATATTCAGTTGGGCATAAAGTAGATGACTACTGAAGAAGCCAAACAGTAGGGCTGCCATTATTATATTATCATCATTTATAGACTTTTCATCAATGCACTCATTTCTCCAGGACCCTAAATTTAAATTCATCAATATGTCTTTGACCATTTAGCATTCATCCTGTCAAAATCCCAACCTGTAAATATTG